TGCTATACTAACAATATTCATTTTATTAATATTTTGTTGTTCTAAAACACGACGAAGAAATGAGAAAATATACCATAATGTATTTTGATTTTCTAGTGGTAAGTCAATTACAAATTGATGACCAAGATGGTTATTTCTTAATTCAATAAATTCTTCATATAAATTATATGGAATAAGTGGATTTGGTAATAGTCTTAAATAATCTTTAATCACTGATGCAGCTAAAACACAATCACAAAAATCCATTGGATCAATATCTTTTTCTCCATCAACTTGTGTTCTAATTTTCTTCATTTCTGTTGTACTACCACTCATCCGAAAAATACCAACATATTCATCTCCTTTATGTTCTTCTAAGTATTGCATTGCTCTGAATATAGGAAGTGGAACTCTCCATTGTGACTTTTTTATAGCACTTTTTAAAGGAATTCCATACATTCCCCATACTGTAGCTAGTTCAGCTATTTGTTCCATCCAATATACATAGTCTTCACAATTATCAAATTTTAAAATATAATTTTTATTTGATATAATCCGAAAACATAATAAAGCATCTTCTTCTTCAATATGATCTTCATTTAAATCTAATGTTAATACACTCCTCTCTAATTCAATTTCTTTTGTTCCAATGGTTAAAACTCTTCCTTTTAATTTATTTGTTATAATACTTATCTTTTTCTCTTCAAACTTTCTTCTTTTATAAACTCCAACATATTGACAGTGTGGTAATCTTCTTTGAACTGATTTATTAATTGCATTAATTGATGGGAAATTACACTTCTCAGTCATTTTACACTTTATTTCAATTTAAGTTACTTTCTTTTTTCCTTTTCATTTTTCCTTCATTCATAAAAATTTGTTTTGTCTTTACTAAATTACATCTTCTGTTTTATATAACAGTTTGGTTTATTGATTAAATAAGCAATACATTGGTTTTCTTTCATTTTTGTTCATATAATTCCAATTACCTTGTTGACTATTATAAAATAAATGAGTTACTGAATTTGGATATTTGTAAATGAAAAGTTATCAGTATTTAAGAAAAAGAAGAGATTGTATACAAGTAATCTGATGTTATTATTTTATTACTTCAACTTAAATTATTCATTTTTATTTGTCCAACATTTCTTTCTATAAAATTCTAAAAAAATATCTAATTAATATTATGGAATTTGGAATACTTTAAAATAAATAAACTCATGACACCTTGAGCTGATTCAGAACATGAATATTAAACAAATTTTTATTTATTAATACTTATAAATTTGATTTTTTTTAATATCAATTAGAATAAACTGATAATGATACTTAAACAATTAAGTTTTAACAAATGTAATCACTCTTAAATCTTTTTAGTTGATTTTTTGAGTCATTTATTTCATACTGTAGATTTCTTTCTTTTCGTTCATAAGAATAAATATTTTAAGTTAAATGAATACCCAAAACTAGCTTAAATATTATGTGGTGTTATTAAAAATTAATACAACCAAATGCAAGTTTTGTTATTTTCTTTTGAATCAGTTTAGACTTTATTCTGTAAAATTTCTTAATTCTTTTTTTTGATAAATATGAAATAATAAGGAATTTTATTCCATATGTAGAATTATTAAAAAAAAAATTAATGAAATGAGTAACTTCATTTATAATCTCTTAAAAAAACAAATAAACTATATAAATTAAAAAGTATATATATAAAAATATCGTTATTTAAATAAATTAATTCAATTGAAGTACTGAAAATAGATTTTAGTTGTAGAATAAACATAATTATTATTAACATGTTCTTTAAAAAAATGTTTAAAACTATTTTTATCTTTTTTGTTTATTCTTTTAAAATTTATTATTGAGAGACATGCAGACTTTTAGTTTATCTTTTTCATTAACTTTAATCGATGACTGGTTCATGCTTAATTATTCTATAATTATTTATTTTATAAAATTTTGAATAGTTATTGTTTTTTTGTAATCTTTTGTGACAGTATCTATAACAACTTTTTGAATGAACTGTTACATTGATATTCATGAGTTAATACTCATTTTTATCTTGAGGTTTATCTTTATTGAAAATTGTTAAAGTGTATCTGTTTTGGGTTGAATAAAGTATTGAGTTGTTTATAAACCTGTTTGGTGTTTGTTAAATTTGTTTCTCTACTCTTTTATTATATTTTTAACTCGTTTTTATAACTAATATATTTATCTTTAATTTTTTATTTATCTTAATCATAAGATTGGTGTTTGTATCATTAAGAGTATTCTTCAATGAAATTATAAGTATTTGTAACAAGTATTTTGTTTTAAATTAGAATAATAAGAGGTCTTCTATTAAAACAAGAATGATTCAGATGTCTTATTAAGAAAAAAAAAACAAAGTCATTATTTTTTTTTGAAGATTTTTTTATACTGAGTTACATAAAGTCATGAAGTTAAGACAATGACTGTTTAGAAGGAGATGGTACTATTTTGATTAAATTACAAAAGTCTTTACTAAATGAAAAACAATTTTTTGAAGAAAGGTCATGAATAAATAGAAATTATTTCAAATCTTGATAAGAACATTTTATCAAAAAGAATATTTAACTATTCAAAAAATTATTCAATAATATATAAATAAATATAAAGATTTAGAACAATTGTATTATAATTATTTATTTGCTTTATTAATATTGTTGTTATTCATAATAATTTTATAAAAGAAAGATTGATACGAGATCAAAACACTAAAAAGATAAATAAATATTAAAAGAGTGATAATTTGTTATTCTTTAGTAACAACACTAAACAGACAAATTAGTATAACTATTTGAAATCCTTTTTATTTAGATTCAAAGAAATAAAGTTTAGATGAATTTGTAAATATAAAAATATTCTCTAAAAAACTCCAAACGAATGAATATTAGATAATTCGTTCCTAGTTTTTGAGTCAGTCTATAAATTTGGTAGTAAAGCATAATTTCAAATCTTTATTTGAGAACACAAACCCTTGCAAAGAATAGCTGAGTACTTAATGGAAGAAAGAGAATGAGAAAAAGTTGTTTAAAAATTTGTTTATATCTTATCCTCATAACTTTTTGTTCTAGTTTTATAAACAATGAACTGTATTAACTTAACAAAACCTCTTAATTTAATCTCTTATTAGTTAACTTATTTCAGTGACCATACTGGATAAATGAATAGAACTCTAATTTTTGTTTTCTTTGTCCAATGCTTTCTGCCTTAAATTTTTTAATTTACAAATCATTAAGATGATGAATAGTTAATACAAGGCAATTGGTAATGAAAAAAAAAGAATGTTATGAGAGTTTTTTTAGTTTATTCATTTCTTTTTTTTTTAAGAAGTGCTTAATTTAATTGATTCATACAACTAATTCTGTTTATGTCATTTATTACATAAATTAGGTGATTTATTTAAAATTTTTTTATTATTTTAGATGAATTAAAATAGTTATTGGGTTGGGAACTTCTTGTTTTGTTTTAAACTACCTCGCTTTTTTAGAAAAAACAAATATATAAAGCAAGTATGCTTCTTTCAGTCATTCCATTGGAAAATGAATTTAATTTAGTGAATTTATAAAACATTAATAAAGAGAGGAAAAAATGAATTATTTTTAGAATAACGTTTCGATAAGTAAAAGAAGAATTTAAATAAAAAATATGAAGGAACCACATTGAAAAAAAACTATCATTTTTAGCAAAAGTAAAAACAAATTATGTATGAGAATAAATGAAAAAGAAAAAATCATCTTTTGAAGAAACTGAAAAATGAACCAAAAAGAATGGAACAATGCAGTCGAATAGAAAAATATGCGATGGTTAAATGGCTTGAATTTGTTTTACAAAAAGAAATTGGATCATTTGAAAGAATTAATGGTCTTATTCTTATTAGATTTATTGAAGAAATATCACATTCAAAATGTAATTACCCATACCCCAAAGTCATTAAAATTCCATTCCAGTCTATGGAAGCTGCAAATGTTTTAATTAATTTTTGTAATCAATTGGGAATTGGGTTTGGGGGTTCTGCAGAAGATATATTTAAAAATGATGAAAAAATGATGTTGGCATTCTTTACTATTGTTGCTCAAAAATACCTTAAATTAAAGAGAACCGATATGGAAGAAGTTACTGCTTGGATTGAACGAGTAACGGAATGGAAATGTTTGAATTATACAAACGACTGGGTTGATGGGAGAATGATTAAATTGGTATTAGGACCTGAAGACCCATTAGGAAAAATGAAAGAATTTGGTGTCGTAGAAGTTGTTGAACGAATTGAGGATGTGGGTATTGATGAATTGACAACAATGATGTTAGTTAGGAGATTATATGAAAAGAAAGAAAAGATTGAGTTATATCATGTACAACGCAAAGACTGGAATGAAATTAGACAACAATTTGATGAACAAAGAAAACAAGATGCTCTAAATTATGCTCTTGGTATTACAGATAATAAACCATCTCCAATGTATACCATCAACTCTCCATTTAAAAAAACAGCAAGAAAGGAACAAAACATTCCTGAAAAAGAAAGTATTCAAGTTAAAGAAGGCATTAACTTACAAAACAAACAAGAAGAAGCTAGCCCAGAAAATAAAAGTACTATTCACAAGGAACCAAATAATAAACTAATAAATCAACCAGAAGAAAGTAGAAAGGATAAAGAAGATAACTCTAATAAGGAGATGAAATTAGTAAATGAAACTGAGGAAGTTAGACTTCAAAAATTAAAAGAGAAACTGGAAAAAGAAAAGAAAGAAAGAAGGATTAGAGAACAACAACTATTCCAGAAAGAGGAACAAAGAAAGCAAGAAGAGGAACAAAGAAAGCAAGAAGAAGAAAGAAGAAAACAAGAAGAAGAAAGAAAAAAGCAAGAAGAAGAAAGAAAAAAGCAAGAAGAAGAAAGAAAAAAACAAGAAGAGGAACAAAGAAAACAAGAAGAAGAAAGAAAAAGACAAGAAGAGGAACAAAGAAGACAAGAAGAGGAACAAAGAAGACAAGAAGAGGAACAAAGAAAGCAAGAAGAAGAAAGAAAAAAACAAGAAGAAGAAAGAAAAAAACAAGAAGAGGAACAAAGAAAACAAGAAGAAGAAGACTTATGGTTAAGGAGACTCAACGAACTTGCAGATGGAAAGAAAGAAGAAAAAAATATAGTGACGCCCGAGAAAGGTATACCAACAAAAGAAAAGATTATTGACATAGAAAAAATAAAAAAGCCAAAGAAAGACAGTCGTATCGAAACAGAAGATGAAAAGAGAAGACTTAAAGTATTAGAACTTAAATTACACAGGGAGGCTGAAGAAAGAAGAAAACGAGAAAATGGAATTAAAGACCCAGAACCAGAATTTGATATAGAGTTGTCTATTTCCACTTGTAACGAAACAAAAATACCTTCTATTGTTTCGATAGATAAAGGAGAATCAAAAGAAGGTTTAAAAGACAACAAAGCAACTCAGGTAGGAGAAGAGAAAAAAAGAACAAGCTCTTTAGATTTGGACACCCATTCTGATTCTTCTTCCATTGTAAATTATATGTCAGATAAAAGTGAGCTTGAAAAGTCAAAAAGTTCAAATAGTGAGTTAAAAATAAGTCCTGAAACTGAAACAACTGTAATCACTTCAAAAGAAGTTAATTGCACTTCCCCAACTCAAAAACAAGTCATAGAACAAAAATCAATAGGGTCTCCTCGTTCGAAATCTCAAGACCTTCACAGTATCAACAACAACAATAGTTTATCAACAGCACAAAGTGATAACTCTATGAGTTCAGAACCTCAAAAAGATTTAAGTGAAGGGGTTGATGTAATTAAAGACTCTGACAAATTACTTAATTCAGGAAAAGCTTCACACCAGCCAACCAAAATTATTGATCCTATTGAAGAGAATAAAGAACATCCAGTAATCAAAAAGAAATCATGTGAACAAGTGGATGTCATTGAATCTAATGATCTTAATAAAAGAACTGAACAAGGAGATCATCTGGATCATGAAAAACAAGAACGAACTCGTCAAAAACAGGAAGAAGAACAAAAAAGGATTGAGGCTTTACGTGAGATAAAAAGACAAAGACAAGCTACATTGGAAAAAGAAAGTGAATATAAACAAGAAGAAATTAAACACATAAACCAACCATTTGTATTAGATCCTGAACATCTTTTATCTGATAAAGCAAGTGGTTTAATGGAGCATTATTATCAAACGTTAAAGTCTTGGACTGGTCTTGAAAAATATAAGATTATTTTTAATGAAAAAATAACTAGTTTAACAAATGAACGAATTAACAGAGCTGTATGTGGGCAAACAAACATTATGGTAATTATAATCACGACCGACTGTTATATTTTTGGATCATATAATTCATTAAAAATGCCAAATGCCCCTCAAAAGAAGTATAAATACCTTATAAATGATCCAAAATTCTTTGTCTTTTCCTTAAAAGCATATAACTCATCTATTAGTCCAAAAAAATTTATGAGAAAAAAACTAGGAAAAACTTCTTGTGTTTGGGCAAACTCTCAGAATAAGGTTCTTTATTCAGTTAAACGATTTTATAAATTAAACAAAATGTCAAATTCACTAATCACCAAAAAATTTGCAATTGAATATAATGATATTCCTGAAATGAAGCATTTATATTTCACTGGTTCTGTCAATTTTGCTATTGGAAGAATGATAATATCTCAATGGAATTAAATTGTTTATTGGTCTTTATTATTAATTAAAAAATACTTTTCTAACATCAAAATTATTTTTCACATGAACAATAAAATTTATTTGGTGTAAAGTTAAAGAAAAATTCAACTAATTTTATCTTTATAGTTTTAGAGTTGAAATGATTTATCTTCTTTGTAATTAAAAAGTTGAAATAGAAAAGCTTTTAAAGAAATCTTTTTAAAGTATACAGTATTTGGATACTTTAAACTAGTAAGAGTAATCACATTTGATGTGTATTATTGTACATAATGATATTATTGTTTTAAATGATTTGTTTTTGAAACATTTTATTAATCCATAATTTCTCTTTTATTAAACTGTTTTTTTTTTCAAAGTTCTTTAATTATTTTTCCATATATTAGAACAATTAATTTTTATCATAACTAAAAAACGAAACAATATTCTAAAAATATTGTAAAAAGAGTGTAATAAGAAATGAATAGTTTCTTTTAATGTATGAGATGATGCACTAATTATTTAAAAATAAAACAGAATATTAATCAGATGATATATAACACATAAATCAATAAATCATTGTATAAAATGACTATTAGAGGGATAAAGCTAAATATGCCAAACCTCCAAATTAATTAAACAACTAATAAACGGGATATTAACTATTAATAATAATTTGTTTTGTTTAAAAATAATAAATAGCATATCAAAGATATATACATTATGAAGAAAGTGAAGAAAGATTAAAAATTATTAAAACAAAAACAGGAAACAGAAGTTATAATATTAATGAATATATTGAAACATGGAAAAATAGTAATTGGAAAGAAAAAATAATTCGTTAATAAAGTTACATCAAAAAGATATTTAAAAAAGTATGAAAATTTTTGAAAACGACAGAACAATCACAAAATAATAAATTGATTTATCAATACAAATTAAATAAAAGATTTTATTAATACTTAATTATAGTTTTGTAAATAATATTTTTTATATTTTAAATAAATAATATTTAATAATTTCCTTCCATTTCAATTACAATGATTCGTTGTGGTGTGAAATGTTCTTGACATCTTTCCATAAATTGCATTTATATCCTTTATGTTTAAATGGTTGTTATTCAATATGATTGTATTTTATTATTTTTTATATATCTAAATTTAAGCAAGTACTTACTTACTTGATTGATTATATAAATAAAATGCATATTGTGAATCTTTAATATTAAATTATATCATTTTTTTATTCTTCCTTTTTTTACGAATAACTTTATCAATTTTCACATTAACATATCCTCCAAATTTATTTCCATCTGAATCTTCAATAATAATTATTATATGTTCTTTATTTATTATTCTTTGATCAAATACTGATGTATTAACATTCCAATCATCGTTATCTGAATCAAATAGTATATCTCCTACTTCTCTTGATGTCCATTCTTCTAGTTGTTGAATTTCTTCTCTTTTTTTCCTTTCTCTTTCTTCATCTTCATCTTTTCTCATCTTCCTCTCTAAATAATCACTATATTGTGTAAACCATTCTTCTTTCGTTTTATTAAATCTTGTTTTAATATTGTTAATTTCTTCTTCTAATTTATTAATTTTATCTTCCATATCCATTTCTTCCATATGAATGATTTTATCTATTATTTCATCTTTCGCTTTATTAACTGTTTCTGAATCATTATTACATTCTTCTATTATTTTGTTCATTTTATTCTTAATTGTTTCTATTTTATTAATTGTTTCTTGTCCTTTTTCTATTACTATTCTTCTTCTTCTAACTACTTCATCAATTCTATCAAATATTCCTTCTCCTCTTTTAATTGCTTGTTCATATGTTTCATTATTTTGTTTCTCAAATATTTCATTTTTAATACATCCTAAATAATAATGATATTGTTTAGTAGTATTATCAATTGACTGTTGAATATTTGGAAGTGTTTCTACCACTTCTTTAATTAATTGATTATTTATGAATAACTTTTCCATTTTAATTAAAGTGATGAATATCAGATCAAAATAAGATGATTAAATAACTAAATACAGGTTTATAACACATCATTTTATTTATTATTTTAATAAATGTTATTTCATTTTTATTCATTAAATAACAATAATAAAATAAATATTAAAATAATGTTAGTTCTTTGAAGAATATTTTAATCACTCACTATTGTTTTCTTATTTAGTTATTTGTTTATGAATTCTATTATTCACTTTTCTTATCTTCAGTACTCCTCTATTTAGTCATTTCATTAACAATACGTTGTTATTAAATGTCTTTAGTTTTTTCAAGTGGTTTAATTAATTGAACATCCGATGTTTGTTGTAACTAAGAGTAATAGCCATTCTCTTTTAATACCCTGATCGTCAGTAATTTTTTTTAAGTGTGATAGTATTAAATATAATGTTAACGTTAAAGACATAGTGATTATTTTATATACCTTTTGAGAATAATAAGAAAACAAATAAATTGAAATTTAATGGTGGCTTGTTTAGTGTCTTTTTAGCAGTGTTATATGAAAAGAATTTAGGGTGTCATGGCAAAATTAAAGAATAACCCATGAATAAAGGTATAAAACAACTAGAAACGATAGTATAATTAGAGTTGGACAAAAACAATATTAAAATAATAACAAGACAGAACACCTAATAAAAATCCTTACCAAATGAAAGGATAGGATAAAAACATAAATTTAGATAATCTGAATAATTAATAGAACTTAACAAATAACAAGTTTCATTGTTTACAACAAAACTACCTCTTACTCAAGAAAATACACTACCAAACACTCATCGTACACTCTTTTTATAACTTTATCTTACCAATAATTGAGGAGTATCTAACCTGATTACAACAATTGTTGAATTAAAACAACATTTTGAACTATAATTTAAAAATTTGAATAAATTAATAAATCAATAATTTATTCATAACTCTTTTCATAAAAAATACAAACAACAAAAATATTTTAAAAGCAAATGCACTTAAAGCTTATCATAGAATTTATCTAAACCTGGAACACCTTCTGGAAGTCCTTTTCTCTTTCTAATAGCAGCAACAATTGATCCAACCTTTGATGTAGCATCTGTAACATCACCATTAAGTAATTGCCAATGATCAAAGACACATTGTGGGAAGGCTTGTCCTGAAGTATGTGATCTCAAATCAGCAGTAAATCCAAATGATTCACAGACTGGAAGATAAGCTCTAACATTGAATAATGGAGTACCTGGTCTTTGTTCTTCTGAAATAATCTTTCCTCTTCTTCTTGACATGACTGTGTAAATTCCTCCAATAGCAGATTCTGGGCATTGAATTTCTGCAAGATACATTGGTTCAAGAAGTGATGGGGCTCCTGTTAAAACACATGCGAAACAACATCTTCTAGCGCATGGAATCATTTGTGCTCCTCCTCTGTGGATAGCATCTGCATGTAATTTAACATCTTCTAAGTTAATTCTAACTCCTCTAATTTGTTCATTACAAACAACTCCATCATGCATAGCATTGTTAAATCCATTAACAATAGAATCTTTAACTTCATTCAAATATTGAATACCTTTAGTAACATCAACAAACAAATTTGGTCCACAGTTATCTGGTCCGAAACACCATATCTTTCTAGCTTCATCAACATCCCATCCATATTTCTCTGAAAGGAATTTAGCTCTTTCTTTAAAGTCTGTATCTGGTTTAATTTCTCCTGCTTCAATATCTTCAGCAAGTCCTTCAGCAAATGGGAAGGCTCTCATGAACAATCTATTTTGGTTATTAGCTGATTTAGAAAGACATTGAATTCTTGATGGTTCTGTAATAGTTTCTCTGAATGAAACAACTGGTTCTGTAACAATCAATGGAACTCCTGAACAATAATCTT